TTTTTTTTTTTTTTGGTACCGGGGATTGAACTCGGGTCCTTGCATTTGCACAGCAGGTGGTGAAAGGACTGAGCTAAATCCCTAGCCCTAACTCTGTCTTAAGTTTTTCTTCAACTTTGGGTCACACTCTGGGCAGGTGGGGACTAGAGATTTACTGCAGGTGTTTCCCGCAATTGGCACCTAATGTGGGGCCTGACACACAAGCAACCACTTCCTCAGTGAAGCTGCTCAGATTGAAAAAGAATAAAAAGAAATCAGCAACCAAGGGGCTCCTGTCATCAAAGGACAGCCATAGGAGCGTAAACCTTGAAAAGAAGTGCTATAATTAACTGGGACTTAATAAAATAGAGAAAGGAAGAAAAGAAAGAGAAAAGAGAAAAAAGAAAGAAAGAAAGAAAGAAAGGAAGGAAGAAAGAAAGAAAAAAATATGGCACAATCTTTCTCAGTCAAGCAACAAAGTAACATCCATGTGCTCCATGCTCTTTTTAAACAAGAGTATTATACCGGGTCATTCCACAGCATTGAAAAAATGGTAAAAGATGTTTGGGAAAACAATTTGGGATTCTGGTGGGCAGAAACCGGAAGCCTTAGATTTAAAGGTTTGGCAGCATGTGGGAGAAAACCTAGATGCTGCTCAACAGAGAGAAAAACTATTTCCCCAGAAACCCTAACAACTTGGGCTCTGGTGTGCTCCATTCTGGCACCTTTGCAACCTAGCTTGATAACTTCTAAAACTTCCACCAAACTTGCTGCATTCCACACACAGGGAACTTACTCCTTGCAGGCAAAGTGCTGGCCTCAGAGGAGGCTCCTAGTGCCCTTCCTGTGCAGGAGGAGGAACTCTGTCCTCCACCCCAGGAGCCGCTGGAGCCTGCCTTGCTGATGGAGACATTGCAATTGAGCAGCACTGTCACCCAGTATCAAAAGGCGGTACAGCAAGCTGCTAGGCCAGGAGAGGATTTTGACTCTGCAAAGTCTGCAGGGGGGACTTCAGACTTACTGTAGGAGTCTCTGGCACCCTGCCTTCCCCTGGATATCCTTCACTGGTTTATCTGAAGCTCTTCATGAAAGAAAATGCATCTTATAGAAATATCACTTTTTGTTTGTTTGTTTGTTTGGAGACAGAATGTCAATATGTAGTTTAGGCTGGTGTGGAACTCAGTGCCTCAGCCTCAGAGTGCAGGATGGCAGGCGTCTGCCACCATGCCCAGTGAAAAATCACTTTTGAAAGAAATAAGGTAAAAAAAATGCTCCACTATCTCCCCAAATGCTATTCTCCCTATTCTTGCCTTTATTTATATTACTGTATATATTATGGAGAAGAATTTTCTCCTAAAATATTTGATTTTTGTTTCTGATGAGTAAATATCTGAAAAAAGAATTGTTGAGCTCTATAGGAGTCTTTTTGAAACTTCATGGGGCTTTTAAACTGTTTTAAGAGTCATTTTACTTTTTACCCTCTTTGAAAATGTAAGAGCATTCCACTTGTTCATCTTCTCACTAATGCTTAGTATTTCATTTGGCATTTATTGTTATTATTAAACTAAGTGTTGTTTTAGCCATGCATGTGTGATAATATTGTAGTTTTGATATGAATTTTATTAATATTTAGCATTTTAATGTATTTATCAATGATTTGTGTATATTCATTTGTTCAGCATTTGCTTGCATATTTCAGCCATTCTTTAGGTAGGTAGATTGTTCATCTTATTTTAAGTATACAGCTTTTTATATGTTATACACACACATATCCTTTGTCAGACATTTATTTTGCAAGCCTTTACCCATAACCTGTAGCTCACATTTTCATCAAAAACATTTAACATCAGTTTTTAATGTTCATGAAAATTTTTTGGTCAGTTTTGACCTATTATTTTGTATTGTAGAAGTATTGAAATAAATGCTCATCCAACGTCTGGAAAGATTCTCATTATTTATAGTAGACATTTGTACATTAAATGTTCATGGTTATGACTAATAAACTTCTGGCATTCAACACAAGAAAACTGAAGGGTTAGTTATTGAACAAATACAATAAAATGAAACACTTGTTAAAGTAACCTCAGAAGTATGGGCTTCCTGACCGCAAGGATAGGAAGCCATCCTGAATCCACACATATTTGAAACTATTTAAAATAATCTACAGATATTACAACAAACAGTTTAAGATTTAAAGTCTTAAAATTTCTGTTTTACATGTGTTTTAAAACTATTTTCCTAAACTAATGTATGCAAAACTTATCATTAAATGTGCTCCTGTAGACATTTTAGTGAAATGCCTATTGATTAAATGATTTAAATCATGTGCTGCACTGTAACAGTTGGGTGACATGTTTGTAGTATAGTAAATCAAGTTTTCAGAGATAAAATAATAAGTCTGAGATATTAGGTCACACGACAATGAGATTTTGTGAAAACGAATTTTCTGAATGCTTCTTTCACATCTTTGTTCCTAAGACTATAGATCAATGGATTCAGCATGGGAATCACCACCGTGTAAAACACTGAAGCCACTTTTACTATCACCCAAGAAGTTGTAGCATTAGGAGCACAGTAGAGGAGCAGGATGGTGCCGTGGAAGATGGTGATGGCTGTCAGGTGGGAGGTGCAGGTGGAGAAGGTTTTCCGACGCCCTGTTGCTGAAGTCATCTTCATAACAGTGATGGAAATGAGTGCGTAAGACGTAAGAATAATCAGGCTGCTCGTCTCATTGAACACAGCAATGATAAAACATAGCATCTGGCTGATATATGGGTCTGAGCAGGACACAGAACCAATTACTGAATGGTCACAGATGAAGTTATTTATGATGCTAGAATCATGGTAAGATAGTGAAAGAAGAAAATATGTCAGTATCAGGGAGCACACTATGCCCCACATGTAGGACCCCACCACCAGAAGAGTACACAGCTTCTGAGACATTGTAACGGCATAGAGCAGAGGGTTACAAATGGCCACAAAACGGTCATAGGCCATTGCTGTTAACATAAAGGTTTCTGCCACTCCAAAAATGCAAGCAAAAGAAAACTGCATAATACAACCAGTGAAAGAAATGGTTCTGTCTTCCACAACCAAGTTCTCCAACAGTTTAGGTGTCACTACACTGGAAAAACAGAAATCTATGAAGGACAGTTGGCTAAGGAAAAAGTACATGATTGTGTGGAATTGTGGATTGATCTTGATGATTACGATCATGCCCACATTTCCCACCACAGTAACTGTGTAAAAGGACAAGAAAAGCAGGAAAAGTGGAACCTGCAGTTCTGGATACTCTGAAAACCCCAGGAGAATAAAAGTGGGCCTGCTGCTTCGATTTCTTACAGGTGACATCATGATCCTTGTTGGATTAAAAAATAATTATTCCTGTATAGCAGATGGAACTGAAAGGAAAAACAAAAAGTTGTTATGTGTTTGTGTGAGATGTAATACAGTACTGTTTTTCTTCCAAGTATCGTGCAATCCAACAACAGTAGCTTCTCCTTGGAATTTCTCAGTATCGCAAGTTCTCCAGGTTCACCCTCAATCTCTGAATCAAAAATTCTAGGATGACATCCACACTTTGTGTTTTACCAAGACTCCAAGGGATTTTTTTTTTTTGCTTAAATTCTTTTATTGGTACATTTTAGGTATACAATACGTTTACATTTATCATTGGGTGCTTGTACTTGTACATGATTTATCTTGGTTCTTATGTTTTCCCCATTACCTGTGTGCCCTTCACCCCTCCACCCTTCCCTATTTACATACTTTGTTTCCATTTTTTTTCTTTTCTCATAATTTTTCCTTTCCATTCTTTCCTTTCCCCATCTCCTCCCACTTAAAGCTTGGAAACAGCCCAAGTGCCCATCAATTGGAAACTGGATAAAGAAGATGTGGTTTTTTTATAAAATTGAGTACTACTCAGCCATAAAGAAGGAGAAACTAGAGTCATTTATAGCTAAATGGATGCATATTGAGGCCATACTCTTAAGTGAAATAAATAAGACATACATGTGTAAATACCTAATAGTTTATATAGTGTGAGAAACTGAGAGTGTAAATAAGGGCTAAAAGGATTAATAACTCCAAGGGATTTTGATGCATGCTAACATGTGAGAATCACCAGTGTAAAATATAGCAATTAATCACTCTCTTAATACTCAGCTTTTGTTAGAATTATTAACATAGGACTGAAATATAATTTTAAGTCACAAAATAATTATAAAAATGGAAGACAAAAAGTGGAAAAGAAGCACAGAGTACTTTGTTATGGTCTGAAGAATTGCATAAGGATAATAGAGATGACTTGACACTGTAACTGATGCAATGCAAATTTTAGTATTAATACTTTGCATTTTTCACCTTTTCTAGGCATGATACAGAATTAAATGGCCATAGAATTTGAGAGATTAAAAAAAATTAAACTACATCTAGTCTACGCCTTCCACTTAACATTTTAGCATTTGCTGCAGAATTTCAGCTGAGATATTCGTATAACTCCATCTGTATCTGGATCCATGCCCACACTGCCTCCTGGGTATTTTTATAGGTCTTTTATTGACACTTTCTTCAGCTGTTAGTAATTTATTATGATTTTTCAATTGAGTTTTCATAACCGATAAGAAATAATCTCTCTTTTATGATGAAACAGTCTTAGAGTAGACAGAGAAGGAAAAGCAGTAAGGATATAAAAGGAGGAGCCCGAAATAAGAGAAGAGTGAAAGAAGATATAGACATGAGGCTATAGGAGAAATGCATCTCTGATTTTTTGGATCTTCAACTTTACCTAAAAGAAGTATCAGGCTAAGGACTCAGCTCTCTGAGGTTCTACCTGCCCAGGATCCACACACAAATTCAGACATGGAACATCCAACAGAGTGCATTCTTTCTAATAGCACATGTCCTGGTGAACACATTTGAAACCTCCATTATTTTTCACACTATTTTAATAAACATCTCAACATACTAGGAAAGTCTACCACTGTGGCTCTGTCTACATGGCACAGTTATTAGGTCAATAACAAGAGTTATTCTGAAAAAGTCATGATAAGCCTTACCAATCTCCAGTGAATTTTATAAGCAAAAATGAGCTAGAATGAGGCTTGTACTGAAATAAAAATTTGGTCCAAAAGACTTCAACATCAAGAAAAATCCCATAAATTTACTCTGACTTTTTCGATTGCCCCTTGGTGGTACAACACAGAAAATCAATTCTGAGAAACACTCCTTTTCCTGTTACTGAAAATCGAGTTTTCCCTGACTATAAGAGAGACCTTGTTCATCTTTAGATTAATCTCTATCAGCTGGATACAACGTTTTCAAACTGAGTGGAAAGATACTGAAAGATAAATGAACTGACCTGAAACCAGAAGCTCTTGATGAATTGACAGAATATCTTCCTAAGATTAACAAACATCAGACCTTATTATTCATAGCAATCCCCCATTCTTTATGATAGAAATATACTTAAGATTTGTAACCAAAGTGGAAGAGACTTCAATGTGTATGCCACGAAAGTGACATTTTATTTCCAGGACAGAAGAAATCTTGAGGATTACAAAGAAAACTTGACCACTGAATCTAGTGTTTTACTCTGGCAAACTCTGGCTATTAATATATCTCTCATGTCTAGGGAGATATAGACGTCAGAGAATTATAACTGAACTCCCTCAGAGGGCTGGAAAATATGTAGTTAGTTGTATGTAACACAGTCCCTTGTGTCATTGATACATGCTTTTTTTCTGAGGTGTAAAAAATAATTACATCACCATGTTTACTCCATTAATTGCTTTTACATATTGAATTATTGAAATAATTCACCTTAACTCACGGAAGAAAATAATGGACTTTAGTTGTTTGAAATAATGACAAACAACATTAAGAACTGAGAGATATTTTGTAATAACTGTCTTTTAAATTTCACATTCAGGTGTGTAGTGGAGAATTCTGGTAAATGCTACATTAAGCAAAGGATGAAAGTTACCAACACTACTGACACAACATGGCTGAAATGTACCCCCTTATTTGGTGTGGTAAGAAAGTTATTTCCTTCTTTGATATTCTTCCTGCAACACTCATAAATCCCATTTCTGTATGATAATAGCATCAAGAGAATCCCATTAGAGGACGCTCCATGGGATATACAGCTGATATTCCATAAGGCTGCCTCAGACGGGGCAGACAAGCTAGGCGGGAGAGACTGTCCCAGGCTGAGGAAGGACAGTGGAGACCTGTTGGCTACAAGCCATGTGGTGATTTGATTTGGGATCTCAAAAGGAAGATGGCCCCAGGGGCAGCCTCCCCACCCAAGACCAGGGAAACCCAAATAAAATCGCAAGTCTAGTGATAGTAATGGACCAATGCTTCTCATGCTTTTGCTTGTCTTCCTTCATTCCTTCCTTTCCTTTTACTTTGTTCTGGCTTTCTTTCCTTCTTTCCTTCTGTGAGATTTAAAAAATGTTTTAAAACAATTTTTCATTAGTACATGTTTATAGTACACAATGCTAATATTCATTGTGGAGAGTTAGTAAATGTATTTAACACAGTTTAATTATTTTTAATTTCCTTTTTTCTACTCTCTTCCTCCTCCCTCTGTCTGTTGGTGGCCTTTTCATTTGTCAAAGATCTATCTCCCTATTTCCTATTTTTGATCTTTTATTTTATTTTATTTTCATCAAGTTTATTGGTACATTTTAGGTATACAATACAGTTACATTGGGAACTTGTACCTTTACATGATGTATCTTGGTTCTTATTTTTTCCCCCTTCCCCTGCCCTCCCTTCAACCCCTCCACCCCTCCCTATTTACAAAGACTTTGTTTCCATTTTTTCCTTTTTTCATATT